GAATAGTGACATATTAGAAAAAGGAAAAAAAATTTCATTAATTAGGATATTTCTCTGCTCAGATTCCACTGACTAAAGCCCAGAACACATTTCTTTAATTATAATCTGTCACAGGCCTGGACCCAACTACTTTTTCATTTGTGCCACAATACATAAAATAGATACTATAATTGTTTTAGTAGTATAAATCCGTAAGTTTAAATTTAAGAATTTACTTAAAAAGTAAATGAGATTAATATTATTTTGATGAGAACTTAAATCAGAAGTGTCAGGTTTTTATTAATTTCAGCATCCATTCATTTCTAAATTCTGCATTGATTTCTCAATCAGTACAGAAGAAATTTGAATTTACGCATTAACTAATTACAAATATTAACAATGTTGTGATCTTATGCCATTAATTGTGTGTGTCAGCAAATACACATTTTAGGGAAGTTTAACACAGATTTGAATACTTCTGAATTAATGTCTGATCGTGTTTGATAGATGTTTATTATGCAATAGTTATTTTTATTTTTGCTCTCTCTTTTGGGTGATTTATTTAATGAGCTTTGCTTTGATTTAATAATGCCATCATGTTTTGTTGTTGGGTTGTTTGTGTTTGAATGTCTTTAAATTATGGGTCCTCTAGTACTAAACTATAGGGTTGACTTCTTTTAACAATCACAGAAAGCATTTCATACACACTTAAAAAATTCTCATTTGTAATTTATAATTTGATTTTGAAAGTCCCAAAAAGTTTTACTCACATAAATTTAAGTAAAAGGAACTTAATCTTGTATTTATAAAATATTTAAGCAACCTTATATCATAATATATATAAAGGCTTTTTACCAGCCATGAAATAATTTTCTGAAACTTCAAGAAGTTTTAAAAATCTACCCCCATGCCAACAAGTATAAGAAAAATGGAATTAGAGCTTTTTAATTTCCTTAAATTAATTGTTACCTTGAGGATTCATTTGAATAACCATGAGTATTTTAAATGCCCAAATTTGTCTTGAAAAGTAGAGGGTAGGAAATTCTGATTATCCCTATAATTTTTGTTTTAATTTGGGAATTTAGAGAAAGGCTTGAAGGCCAAGTATATTTTCAGAGTATCTTTTATTCATCATTATGCTCCCATGCTTAGCATAGTGCCTGGCATATAACAGATACCTAATAAATATTTGCTAAAAGAATGAGAACTACCGTTCTAAGCCGCAGGCCTAAAATTGATTCTGGGTGAAGCTTCTTGGTATTTAAAATTATACTGACTCAACAAAACAATGGCTCCAGATGCACAATGGACTGTGACATGCACCTTTACAGCTTCAGCACTTGACAGAAAAGAAGGTTGTATCTAGTGTAGTGGAAATGAATGTAACAATTGCCAAACCAGCTTGTGTCTTGGTTTGTATTTGTGCCCTTGGCACAGCCAGATCTGCCAGGTCAGGTAAAATGCCAATATCTGAGTGGAAAATGAGGAGGTTCTATTTCAGGGAGTTGATCAGGTGAACCAGACCTGGAAAAAAAAAAAAAAAAAGAATAAGTACAATGAGTAGAAAACAAAGAAGGCAACATAGCTGGGACCAATGAAGAGGGTGCCCTGGATAAATATCTACGTAAACCTACCTCTTATTTCCCATTTTTTTCAATATGCTTCTGCCTGTATTCCATTACTGCTCCCTCTTGTAACTCTCTGTTTTAAAGTCCCTTTCCTTAGGCATAATCCAGATTCCAAAGCTGCTAACTTATTTGGGACATCCAAATTATTAAGCTAGTAAGAGATTCAACAACAGAATCTTAACTTTTATTGAGTTTTACTTGAGTAATCTATGTGGCTGTCCTAAGAAAGTTAAGAGAGCACTAACACCACTCAAGAATTCTTTAATCTAGACATGTTCATGCCAAGATCCATGTATCCTTCCCATGTGAAAACAAAAGCTCTATGGCACCTCCAATTTTATGTTATCCTTTGCAATGGGTGTCACTTCTAGTAGATGAACATTGGGGACAGAGGACATTTAACAAGGAAAAACTTTCCCAAGTGCCCTTAAAGTTTTATGAGTGATTCCAAAACTGTTGGAATTCCAAGAACACATCTGTAAATTGATTTTAGTAACTGCCTACTTTCGAAAAAGATTTAAGGCAGCTCACAGAGAAAGGTACATTAGTAAGCCAGAGCATTTAACTAGCCAGAAACAGGAAATAAGTTAAATATAGATTCAAGGAAAAAGAATTCTTAAACTGATGATAAAATGACATATAAACATTTAAACTCTGCTGAGGCAGTAGAACACAAAATAGGAGAATTTCCTATCAGGCAGATCAAAGAGAAAACACAATAGGTTTTTTGTCTTTCTCTCTGTAACTGAAGAGAGCATACCAATTCTTCAGGAACAATAAACATATGTGACCAAAAAACAAAGAAAGGATGTCTATGGAGCATCCTTTGTGCATGAAATGGCTTACATACATTATCATATTTAATTGTGGTCACTATTCTGTAAGGTAAATGTTATTAATTTAACTATACAAAAGAAGGAACTGAATCTCAGAGAAGTTAAGTAACTTGACCAAAGTTACAAAGTATATGATGGAGCTATTATTTCGGTTCACACCTGTCTGATTCCATAGCTCATATAACAAGCTCAGAGAAATGGAAAATCCCATCTTTATCTCATCTCTGTCTTACAACTCAAAGCATGCATACACACATGTGCAATTTTTTCCCCCATAACCAGGGGAACTTTACTCAGGGACGCTTCAAGGAAAATGCCAGAAATAGCAGCTGCAAGCTCAGTATTCTCATTCTAACTACTATAATAGTAGCAATATCTCCCTTATTTATGTGAAATATAAAATGCCCTCTTATACCTTCTTACAGCTATATCCTAAGAGAAAGATCGACATATCTAATTTGTTACTTGGTATAATGCTGTATACGTCTTTTTGTGGATGAGGTCACTTGATAGTTATGCTGAGACCATAACAGCAGGCTTCCCGGGGAAGTAAATCATAAGCAGAGGTCAGTAAAGTAGGATATTTTCTCGTATATAGCCCCCAAATAAAGTGGCTACCATTTAAGAAACCAATATCCAAATTTAGCTCAGCTCCAGTCTGGCGTTACTTGCCAAAGGATTCAGTGCAGTGGGTTAGACAGTGGAAGGGACCAGTGATCCAGAGAGTTGGTTTCATGAGACGTTGAGTTGATATAGGGTCCCAACAAAGAGTAGGAAAAGAGCCTTCAGCTCCCAGAGGCAGAAATGGGCAAAGACCATAAGTTATCGTGTTGCAGAGGTCTTCAGTCCAAGCAGAGAATCTGGCAGGAGTCCAGTCATGTAGACCAAGCTGAAAAGTTACATTTAAGGGGAGAGATTGCAGATGAGTGCCCAGGAACTCATACCACAGGGAGGTTCATTTCTTTCGGACCTGAGGCAGGTGATACAGAATCTTCAGGGTGGAAGTTTGACTTCCCACAGCAGCATGGGGCTGCATGAGTAGGTTCTGACAATTGGCACACTATTTATTGGCAATTAATTGAAATTATGGCTAATTTCAATATTGTGAAGGCTCTCGTGCTATGGTAAAGAAATGCAAATGAGTGAAGTGACTTGTACAAGAGGCAACCTGTGGCAAATTCATGACCAGAATTCGATCTCATGGATTTTCTTCTAAAGCTCTCTCTACCCCTTTCTGTGGGTGACTGTGTACAGTGAAGAAAACAAGGGGGAAAAATTGTGGCTGCTGTGCTTCAGGTATCTTATTGATCCTTTCATATTACATCACAGTTAGCCTGACCAACTGCATCATATAGTTGTCCTACAGCAGCAGGGTCCTTGTGGCCACTTGAATATTTAAAATAGTAATAATTGTAAGTCGACTCAAACATGATTTAATTTGAACTTTCTCTATGAACCGAATACATTTGAATTGCTTTACAAATAATTTGTGATTACTCTTAGCCATATTGGACAGCATACCAAGGTTGATCCAAAGAATATAAAATCCCCAAATTGCATTATTGCACTGCAAATTGCACTGTGTAATGCTCCTTCCCTCCATCCCAAAGCATATTTAAATGAGTCTATTTGTACTGGAAGGGCAAAGTCAATATAAAAATTTTAAATCTATAGACAACACCCAAAATAGCAAGACCCAGAGAGGCAAGAGTTGAGTGCCTTTGATCCATTGTACAGTGTGAATATTAAATAAAAGTAACATCAAATTTTATTCAATTCAAATTGAGTTGCAGTTGTCACAAGCTATTGTTTAATCTGTTTGACAAGTTTTAAATTAGCCCCTGAATAGGTTGTCAACACATTAGCTCTTTAGAAGCTTCTGTATGCAATGTAAACTCTGGCTGTAGTTCCATTTCTGAATATTGAACTATACTTTTAAAGCATGTTTGCTGCTCTCCTTTCCCTTCTCTATTGTCAGTACTTATCAAAATATTTAATATTAATAATGTATGTATGAAACATAAATATTCCAAACACCATGAACTAAGAGCACTCTCTGGTATGACATTTACAAATACCATGGCTATTTCAGGATCAACATTTTTACTAATTATAACTAAGATGTATACCAGAGATGGCAATCGAAATTGACTGGAGATTCCTTCAAAAGGTTGATTGTCTTTCTAGTTGTACCGCCTTTCATTAGTTATGTCTTATTAATTGTCACATTGCATTATATCTGTGCATAATATGATACCACATAACATAATGCAGGGAAAGAGAAGCAGTGTGAAAAGTAGGCATTACCTTTTAATGAGGCAGCATTTGTGTTGAGTCTGAATGCCTGCAGTTCATACAGAGAACAAGCATTTGAGTTAAAAATTCTGACATGTTTAGCAAACCAAGTATTCACTAAAGTAGGTGAGGTAGAAGCATTGTAGGAACTCCTGTATAACAATGACTACACCCGCGGCGCTGTGAGCAAGAAATAGACTGTATTTCAGGTTGAGGTACCCAGTGCACTGGTAGTATGAAACTCTTTATTTTTTTCCTTCAGGTCCTAAAGGGTTTCCCAGAATGCTTACAAGCTGACATTTGTCTACATCTCAACCAGACTTTGCTGCAAAACTGCAAAGCCTTTCGGGGGGCAAGTAAAGGTTGCCTTAGAGCTTTGGCAATGAAGTTCAAGACCACCCATGCACCTCCAGGCGACACCCTCGTTCACTGTGGGGATGTCCTCACTGCTCTTTATTTCTTATCCAGAGGCTCCATTGAAATTCTCAAAGATGACATTGTGGTGGCTATTCTGGGTGAGTGTTTTAGAATGGAATGGTGACAGATTCAGTTATTATTAGATATTGCAGTACTATCAATGATAGCAAAAAGATCTATTTATTTATAGGGACTGCTTAAGACTGGTGGGTAATTTGAAAGCTTTATTAAAAATCAGATTCAAGTCAAATAACCTTGCAAAAATATGTGTTTTTTATTTATTTATTTATTTATATATTTGGAGACAGGATTTCACTGTGTCTCCCAGGCTGCAGTGGCCTGACTACAGCTCACTGCAAAAAAATATATTTTCTTGGCTGTCTCACTTTTTCTCTGACATGTAAATGTTTCCATGATTCTCTTCTGTTCTTAAGCTACTTAGACATTTGTAGCCAAATATATGGAAATAGTCAGCATTTTCTGTTTTCATGTTAGAAGCTCTTAGCTTCATGTTTAACGCCTTAAAATAGTGCCTTGGGCATACCTGCTAGCATGTTTATGTTTAGATGAATTTTATTTCTTCACTGTGCACTTTCACCTGATACATCCCATTAAATGGAATTATATGAGTCCTTGTCTAGGTAGTGTAGACCTGTGAACATAACAACCACGGATAGAGGTAAATTAGTATTAAATTCATCTGGTTTGGGTGCAAAAGAAACCCCGGGTTTAATCTGTCCCTTTAAAATAAAGGTAGGCCATGTTAACTTGTAGGATTTCTTTGGAATATTAGGACAGTGGAAAAGAACCAGAGAACAGAAAGAAACACAGTCAGTTCTCCTCTCCTACTACCCTAGCTGATAGGTTTAAGCCTCACTCTCCTCATGGTAACACCTGCCCCCAAAATCTGTGAAATTTTTCACTTCTTTTCCCTGCGGATTAAATCCAACTCCACTTAAATAATGAGCCTGTAATTCAATGATTTTGTGTGACTCGACTTTTGATGTTCATATATATGATAGTCAACTCTGAAAGGACAGGGTTGTTGTCTCTCTTGCTACTATGTAGAACCAGAGCATGGCACAGCACAGAACCCAGATACAGGATGAAAGTGTTTCAGTGATTTCCTATGTATTTTGATAATTTTATTATGAATATAATTTCTTTAAAAATTCCCCAAATTGACCCAAGTATATAATTTGATTTTCAATTCAATAAGCAAAGAATAAATGCATAGTCTAAATCCCTTCAAGACCACACAATCACGTTAAGTTTTCACTAGATTTGGCCTTAGCAGTTTATCCTGGTATGTGGCCATGGAAGGAGCATGTTTCGCTGCATTCCTGAACTTCAAATCAGCCAGTCCTAGCTTCTACAAGGAAAATAATAAGTCTTCTTCCTTTATAAAATAATAATTCTAGAGTGTTGCTAAGCTGTACACACAGACTAGATTACTCCTTGCTCATTTACAGCCATGTAAGCTAATTAAAACACAAAGCCCATGCTTAATTTAATTCAGAGGTTTTTCTTTTAAATATATATATATATATTAAACCTTCAAAACTATAAAGAATTTCAAGAGATTCTCCTTTGCTGTCTCTATTTCTACGTATGTCAGCACCTAAATCACAAATAATGATTATTTGTTCTATTTTTGAAAGACCGGTATTTATTTAAACTATAATAAATATATCTTCTCTGATGTCAATTTTTCTTATATAATTAAGATATAGTATTTGATTTCTCTCTATTAAACTCGTATTTAAAACAGAAATATTACAGCATTTATTTTACTAATTAAAACTTTATTGTTTAAATTACATGAAGTTGTTTACCAAAAACTAAAATAACACACCCAGGGAGTTTGTTTCTAAATTGGAAAAGAAACATCAGGATGGATATAAGAAAACAGTATTTTACACTGCCATTCTTGATGTTTAAAAGTTATATCTTCAAGTGATCCATCAGTATTTATTAAGTACGTATGCCACAGGTACAATCCGTAGTGCTTTGATGGTCAGAAACAGAAAAATCTAAGTAGCCATGACATTCAGGGAAAATATTAAATGGGAGGAGATTAGATCTGCAGTTTCGGGTGGATAAGGGCTTTGACTCTGGAGTCAGGGTGCATGGGATTTAATCCTGGCTATTCTCTCCCTCCCTCCACTTCACCTAGCTAAGAAGGTAACCTTGGGCTAATCAGTTTACCTCTTTAATCCTCTTTCTATATTCATAAAATTGGGATAATAATTAGTAATTCCTTCATGAAGTTATTTTGGGGATAAAATGATGCACCTAAGCATTTGACACAGTGCCTGGCACCTATTAGTGCTCAATAAATATTTGGTGATGTTGCTGTCATTCTTATCCTGATCATTGAACAAGACCTTGAAAAGCAGGTGGCATGTGGCTAGGCAGAGGTGGTGGGGAGGGCCCATCAGAAGCCAGACGTTGAAGGAATTCCAGGTTTTTCAGGAGAGCAAAGAGGACAACCTTTCAGAACATAGGCCATAGAACAAAAAGCATGACTACATTATGTTGAGAAACTATATTTATTAAACAAATTGGACAAATTCATTAAAGGCAAATACAAAGTGGTTATTAAAGGACACAAGATGTGTTCAAATTGCTCCACCAATCCCCTAAATGTCAAAAGAGCTCCACCATAACCCCCAGCCAGACATCACCTCCCAAGAGCATACTGAAACATAAAGGTCATGAATCTGATTCACTGTGGCCTTTGCCATATTCTTTTACTGACAAAATCAGAACACACCTACCTAAAAGTGCCTTTAAAATACTCAATGGCAAGACTTTTTGCTAGCAACGAGGGGCATACCAAAGATGTGTTTGCTACAATCTAGATGCTTAGCCATATAACCAAAACAAACAAACAAACAAAAATATCAAAGGGATTATACCAGAACCAGTGATGTTTAGAGTTAAAATTCCATTGAGCAAGTGTGGGCTGGGGCAGTCAGCCTGGGTGCTGGAACTTTGCTGCCCAAGTGTCTATTGGCTGTGGGCTTTACATTTGAAGTCTTTGGTTCAGGGATTGGTCAATTGGTAAGTGGTTCCCTTCCACTTTTAGAAGGAAAACATTAAGTTTGGATTCTGTTTACTTCTCCTTTCTTTCCTTTTTTTTCCCCATTTCTTTTTCTTCTTTAGGAAAAAATGATATATTTGGAGAAATGGTTCATCTTTATGCCAAACCTGGAAAGTCTAATGCGGATGTAAGAGCTCTCACATACTGTGATTTGCATAAGATTCAGAGAGAAGACTTGTTAGAGGTTTTGGATATGTATCCCGAGTTTTCTGATCACTTTCTAACAAACCTAGAGTTGACTTTCAACCTAAGGCATGAGAGTGCAAAGGTATATGTTAACTATTTGCCTATTTTTATATTTCTGACATTTTATTTTACTCTTAGATTGTACATATACTTCTGAAAAAAGTTTTGCAGCAAAACTTTGCCAATTCTATATATTTGAAAAAGGCCGTTGAAAGGTTTAAATTTTAGGAAAGAAACTCAGCCTAATTACTTTTCAAACATATTCAAATATGTTGAATAATTTTAAGTATGTCAATTGAGTTTGCCTCTGTAAGGAACCCTTAGATGACATAACTTAGAATGAATATTGAGAGTGTGGCCCTAAGCCCCTCACGCTATTCCACTGTGAAAATGTGTCCTTATGACTTATAACTATTCTATGGATAGAGAACTTATGTTGGAGCCCAAAATTTACTACTAGGTTATTTCTTCTACATCCCTTCACCTGCCAAACCCCAAATCCTGCAACTCCACTCCAATTCTAAATACTATTTTTTATCAGAAATCAAATATTAGGTGTTTGATACTTGCCAGTGTATTTATATGCTAACTAATATATTCTTTGGGAAAAGATCCTCCAGTCAATAATCAGGTAAAAGGTGGTAGATTTAATACTCCCTGGAGTTATAGTCATTCCCAGACACTGTGAGAGACTTAAAGAGAAAGGGTAACCTTTAAAGTCACCAGGTTGCCATTTAAGATCCTGATGCATCCGCTCAGATAAGTGCTTCTTTACAAAACACTGGAAAGTTTAAAAATATTTAGGTGGTAAAAGGCTCCAGTTACATGGAGCATATGTTTTTTTAATAATGGGTTAAATTTAGTAATTTAGCACAATCCCAGTTTTATGTCACCAACCTCATTCTGATTTTGCTTTGAAAAACAACAAAATCTACCTCAGGTAATTTCCTTATGTAAAAGTTTAGTATACACCCAAATAAATAAGACAGGAGCTTCTATTTTTATCTATTAATATAAAATTGATAATATTGCACAAAGTGAACCAGAGAGGAAGGAAGTGGGAGCTGGAAACAAAATACTAGAGAGTTCAAAGCATAATGTTTATTGAATTTGACCTTGTATTTATTGTTGTGAAATTTAACTTTGTGATCACTATCGCGTCATTTAAACATCATGGCTAATTATAATTAGTTTATACATTTTCTCTGTAGTAATACAGATTCTGCCAAGTTTTTAATATTACTACAGTTGACCCTTGAACAGTGTGCAGGTTAGAAGCACAGATGCCTGTGCAGTCAAAAATGTGCAAAGAATTTTTCCTTCCCTAAAACTTAACTACTGTTAGCCTACTGTTGACTGTAGGCCTTATTGATAACATAAACAGTCAATGAACACATATTTTGTATGTTATACATATTATATACTGTGTTCTTACAATAAGGTAACACAGAGAAAAGAAAAGGTTATTGAGAAAATCTAAGAAAGAGAAACAATATTTACCATTCATTAAGTGGAAGTTGATCATCATAAAGATCTTCATCCTCACATTGAGCAGTCTGAGGAGAAGGAAGGGTTGGGTTAGTCTTGCTGTCTTAGGGGTGACAGAGGCAGAAGAAAATCTGCAAATAAGTGGACCCACACAGTTCAAACTTGTGTTGTTCAAGGGTCAACTGTATTATTTTTTATTTTAACTTTACCAAGCCACATAAAACACATTTCACATAAAGGATTATTTTGTCTCTAAATGCTGACATCATCCCCAAACATTTTTAATAAATAATTTCTACAACTATGATTTCCCCATCAGATGGTGAAACTATTAGAATTATTCTTATCAGACTGTTTTTACAATTTAGAAACAACCATCATTGTAGCTGTTCACCTGCAATCTAGTAATTAAGTCTCAGGGTGGTTGAAATGGCATGAAATAGCAAATAGTTTACTGATAGCACGTTATGTTCAAATTGGGTAATCTTCCATTTTTATCTTCATGTTCCATTAACAAAGGCTGATCTCTTACTACGATCACAATCCACGAATGAATCCGAAGGAGACAACTGTAAACTGCGAAGAAGGAGATTGTCATTTGATAGCGAAGGAGACAGAGGTAATTCATTCCATTTCTAGAGTGTAAATGTAGAGCACGTGGCTATTAGCTCTTCTAACTTAAAAGCTCATTATACTTCTGATTCCAAGAGTAAATTTCATTCGGGCTCTAGAAGGGCGAATCCCTTACCTTTTCCAGTAGCTAATAACCTGGTTTTTGGTTTCTGATTGATAGCCCTTGACAATGTCATTCAGCAAAGCCATCTGATATCTACAATGACATCACAGATAAAGTAACAGAGTGGATTGGTTAACAAAAAAGGAGGCCAGTTAATCACAGTTGACTGACTATACTGGACCTTTCTGAGCAAAGTGTTCTGAAAGGAGGACTATCATTTCCAGCCAAGAGCTCCATCCTCCCACGTGGCTCACTTGCACATATGACGTGGATGAAGGCCACATTTGTTAGTCTTTGTCATTCTCAAACTCCGTGGTTCCTGCCACTTCTTATCCTCTCTGGGTTTTTCTGCCTCTCTGACTGTTCTTTATGTTTTACTCATATATTCAACAAATATCGATTTGACATTTCACATTTTCAAAGAGCTACTCAATATTCTAAGAAGTAAATTGTGCAAAACATCCCTCATCTTCCCTAGGGAAGGAGATGGACACACCCTCAAACAGCAGATGCTGTAACGGGAGTAAGCACACCTCAGTGGGAAGCCAGGTGAGGGTGCCTTTAATGGTGCCTGGGCAGATGGGAGAAGGCCTTCCCCAGGAAGCCCCACCCTCGCCCCATGCTGATCCAACACTCTAGTCTTCTCATTCGTTAGCCTCACAGCAACGTCACCTGTGAACCAGCTCCCCTTTTTTTCTTGAATATTATTTTCTTAGCATCTGTGACACTTCGCTCTTCCTGTTTTTCTCCTACTCCCACTAATTCCCTGAAAAGAATTTCAGGATCATTACCTTCTTCACCAGGTTTAGTTGTTAGAGTTTCTCAAGGAATCATACTAGGTCCTCTTTTCTTTTCAGTCTGTATCATACTCTTTCCCTAGGTGATTTATGTCCATCATTTAGTTATATCCTCACATAGGAGTCATACTTATCTACATTTTAATCCCACACCACCTGAGCTTCAATCTCACATATCCAACAGCCTATTAAATTATCTACTTGAAATCTCAGAGGCAGCTCAGACTCACCACTTCTTAAATCGAACTCATGCTGCTCCCTGGAAACCTGCCTCCCTTTAGTTTCCACGCCTTTCCAAATCTTGCCACCAACTAATCAATTGCACAAGTCGGGTATCTAGAAGCCAACGTTCTCGCAACTTCCCCAGCAACTCTGGCAACAAGTCTTGATGTTGCCACCTCCAATCTATCTCCATTTAGTCTTCAAATTAGGTCTCCTTTTGGTTCACTTTTCTGCACCTCCTCAGCTGCAATTCTGGAACAAACCACCATAATATGCCACTTGGAATATTGAAACAGCCTTCCAACTCACCTTCCCACATGCAGCTTGCCCCTCTCTCATCTATTCCACACTGGACCACTGGTGATTTTTTTTTCTTAATGCAGTTACTCACATATTCAAAGCCCTCTAAGGACTTCTCATTCCCCAAATTTTTAATAGGGTAGGTCTATGCCTACCTTTTTAGTCTTACCTCATACCATCTCTCCCTTAACTAACCTGTTGAGCTCCTCTCCTTCCCCTATCAGTTTATCTCCTCTGTAGCATTTCCTCTAGTTGTACTTCTAAGTTTATTTGCATCATTATTTAATGAATGTCATCTGCCTCCAGATCATAAACTCCATGGAGGTGGGAAATATTTGGTCCCCTGCAGCTGTAGCACTTGCTGCATAGCAGGTGCTCAGCAAGTATCTGTTGAGAGAATAAAGGAAATAGATTTTGAGCATTTTCCTTTTGGTTCTCTCCTCCTTTTGCCTTCTTAATTCAAGTTCTGTCCTTGACTCATTTCTCTTTTCCATGAATCTTCTCCCTAGGGGAAATCATCTACTAGCTGTAGCTTGCTCTACATTCAAGTGAACCAAACTGCCCTCTTTTCCATGTAAATCATTTCTGTGTTTTGGCTTGTATCATTCCCTTAATTAGAATTTGCCTCATTGTGCTCAAAAACACACATACATGTGCATGCGGGCACACACAACTGTGCCACACCACTGTTTTGTCCACTAAAATTATATTTCTTTATCAAGGTCAATCTCTAATGTTATATTCAATGTGAACTGTTTCTTGATCTCCTCAAATATAAATGTTCTTTCTCTTATGAATTGTCGAAACACCTCTCAAGATATTGTCAAAATCTGCCCTGTACAATAGTTACTTGGTATATTTTTCCTTTTTCTCTGCCACACTGTAGATTCCTTTAACAAAGAATATTTGATAAATATTTGTTGAATTGGGCTCATCATTGAATTCTTGGGCCAATTGCAGAACAATAAACCACTCATAGATAATTGATAAATTTTTTTCTAAAATGTCCTTCATTATTCTCTTGGTGACTTTTTCTAAAATCAGAACCACTACTATTTAGCCATTCTTCCACAGAGTTAATCTAAGTCCCTAATCCTAAAGTTGATCTCTTATTTTTATCTCACTGAAAATGAAGAACAGGTTAACAATGTTGTCTATATAACAATGTCCTCCATACAGTTAAAGATTTATTAAATCTTTCAATCTTATTCAGTTTCCTCTTTCTCCAAATAAATAATCTAATGTTTTTATCTCCTGATAAGGCCCTAAGAGCATGTCACAATTTATATTGTGCTCATGCAGCTAGACATTTCTGTTGATTTTGAAAACTTTTCCTTTAATCATGGGCTTAATCTAAAAGAACAATTTTATAGAAAGTGTAGATGTTAAAAGATTTGCCTGCCTGTAGTTTTTTGAGGTTTCCTAGTATGCCAGTGAGTTACTGTGAGTTGGTCAATGTGAAAACACAATTCACTCTAGTTAGCCAGAGCGCATTCCAAAGTCTTCAGGATTCCAGGGTGTTTCAGGCAAGTGTAATATTTGCTAAAAAGCAATTTAGTCCCTGTCACTCCAATCTACTGCTCTTAAGGTGACCATTCATTCTATAGTTCTTGAAGTAGAATCAACATCTAGGAGAAAAACACATATAAGTATAAAAAACCAGAACTTTCAAGGGATCATTGATGCTAAATATGTGGATACATAAAATGAAATCTTCCTGCAAAATACACTAATTATTTTAGCATTAGTTTATTGCTCATCTGAAAGGAAACCTTGAAGGCAGGCATCCACAAGTGCTAATGTCTGTGAATCAGACAGCAGAGGCATCAGGAACCAGAGGGAAGACCACATGCTTGGGCACTGGAGGTGGAAAGAGGTTGAGTCCTCCAGCACTCACTGCCTACTCAGCAGGACCCTGGAACTTTTTGGGCTTCAGTCATCAGCTTCCCAACACCCTCTTTCCAATCGTGCCTACCACATGGTGCTGAAGAGCTCACATTCAAAAAAATGATCTGTAGAGACTCTGGCAAGATGACTTGAACAAAATAGATATTTAACATAATGAATTTGTTGATGAAGGTAGTTTGTTTTCATGAGCTTCACATTTTTTTTTTTTTTGGAGGAAAAAAACCCATTTCCCTAGAGGAGATGGAAAAAACCTATTCCCTAGTACAAATTTGAGGACACTTTGTACATTTTGAAGGCATCTTCAAATAGTTCTCTTTCCTTCCCAAAATTCTGGTTACAGAGGTGCTTGGGACCTCCTGATATAACTAGGACCATCATAGGAAAAGCTGTCACAGGTCCTGAGCCAAAAGCATTTAATAAAATGTTATTGTGACAGAAAGTGAAAAATAATAATGCTACTTTGATGACCTATTCAGTGGTCATGAGCATTGTTAAGACGGCTGGGCTTAAGAGAAGGAAATGAGGAAAATTCTAGAAAATAGTCTCTATGTAAGTGGTCTTCAAAGTTAGATTGTACTTACTTCAGTGTGTGCCAAAATGATCCATTGGGCCATGGTAATAATAATCCTTTTAAAACTGTATGTTGTGTATATTTTATAGTATATGGAATATATTAGTAAAATGATATATATACATGACACAAGAGATATATGTATGTATATATGTTCTGTATATTATAAAATATGCATATATGTCTGTATATATCTACACATGCCATTATACACACGTATGCATTGTTACTGATAGAGCTTGTATGATCAAATATTTGGAATGTTCTGCTCAACTCTTTCTGTGGAAAGAAAATATAGTATCCAAGTAGCTAGTAATGGCTGATTAGGGGGCCAGTGACTTTCTGGCACTGAATAATCCAATGAAGGCAGCAACATAACAGACCCAAACCAATCACCTGTTCATCTGGTGCCCATTGTCTCTGAGATCCCGCTGTGTGCTAAGTGCTCCTAGGGTTGTTTTTTTTTTAATCTTTATTTACACTTTATTTAGTTTTTAAAATTTTATCTCTGCTTTTTAGAGAAAATTCTTCATCAGTTAGTGAGGAGACATGGAAATTTCTTATAAATTATAGTTATTGTCTACATACCTACCCTCTTCAATTTTTGCAACATTTTCTAGATTTGTCAGGAAGGATAAAGGTTTCTACAGAATTCTACAGAAGTTAGCTTTACTTTTTTCGTACCAAATAGTGAGAAGGAAAAAAGAATTTGGAAAAGGGAAGTTTTTACCCTAACTGGTTTTAGTGTTTGGAAGCTCCTCAAACATTGTGAAAAATTATGAAGTAGAGTTTCTGCTTATGTTATACGTTTTAAGAGAAATTCCATCTATATACATATATATGCTATTTTTTTAAACTACAAGATAGAGGTCACCTGAGGTCACCGTATTAACATACAGGAAACATGGGAAGGCAAGTACAAAAGTCTCCCAAAAGAACAGATTTGGAAGATTCCTTTGCCTCTCATTAGACCTCTGCATAAGTATCTGAACCCCCTCTTCCAACCATCACTTCTCTATACTTTTTCCCAACTTCTTTTTCCAAAAACATAAAATTCAAGACCAAAGTAGTCAAGTAGCTTCAATTAAATAGCACCTGAAAAATGTACTGGGTCAAAAAAAAAAAAAAAAAGATGTTCTTAGCAAAAGTTAAAAAATGCTGAGCTTGTTCTTCCTAATCTAGAAATATTTTTACTCTCTTAATTTCCAAAACCTAGGAAACAACTCTCAGAGCTCAGGACACCCTATTACTACTGGTAAAAAAGATTATCACAGTAAAGAAACTGCCAAGCACAGAAAGCAAAAAAAGAAAACAAAACAAAAACAAACGCAAGAGAAAAATAATTAAAGCTGTTAAAGATGCGCCTGTACCAGCTAAAGGAATAGACATCAGGAAAGAATGTTCAGCATCTCGTTTCCAATGGGCTTGGATGGTTCTGTACATACAAGAACCATCTGACAAACAACGGATTCTGACAAACTGGAATCTGTTCTAAAGATATATACATCCTAAGAGTAGAGAAGAGAAACTGAAATTTACTCATTTTCTTATCTGTATAATTGTTATTAAAATGAGCACTTCTATATATTAATATATTCAACTGGAAAAATCTAATGTTCCAGAAAATAGAGTAGAAATGGTCTTGAGCTCATTATACTTTGCATTTCAAAGGATTACAGTAAACATCATCTCTTTGTAATACTGGTTTAATGATTTTGCATTGCCTTCCAAAATAACTTCTATGAAAATTATTGAAGGGGTAGATATACACACTGACAAGCTTAGTTTTATAAAATAAGAATTAATTCTAACTTTATTAAATTAATCCTTTAAATATGTTGGTATTGTATTTTGATATCTCTTTAGGAAATTTTTCCCAATAACAAATAATGATTCGATTTTTCTTATCCATTTTAGCCGTATATAAATGCATCTTTTCATTTTTTTCAGCTTTATTGAACTATAATTGAAAAATAAGAGTTGTATAATTTATGATATACTATATATATACATACACACACACATGCACACACACATTGTGAAATGATTACTACAATCGAGCTAATTAACATACCCCATCACCTCACATAATTAACTTTGTGTGTGTGTGTGTGTGTGTGTGTGTGTGTGTGTATGTGTATGCGGAGAGAATACTTAAGATTTACTCTCTTAGCAACTTTCAAGTATATAATACATTAACTATAGTCACCATGCTGTAAAATAAAACTCCAGAATTTATTTATTCTGCATATCTGAAACTTTGTATTCTTTGACCAATATTTCCCCTAACTCATCTGTTTTTTATTTTAATTTTTAAAGGCATTTAATCTTGTATTTGTATTAAAAAATAATCACTTGGTCCCCATTTAATATCCTTTAAAGCTATAGAGGGCCTAAGGTACTTGATCTCAAATGAAGAAATTTATTTTACACTCCAATTTTCCAAGTTATCTGGCTGGAAATTACTCAGCTTATTTCTAAATCATCACCAGTGGGAAATCTAAACCTCAGATGCTCAGAGAGCACCTTTAAATGCCTCTCTTTGACCAAAGGTTATGTCTCCCTGTTGCGTCAGACAAATAAAAATGATAATTAATGTGAAAGGCAGATTCCATGAAAGATGAAGTGAGCACGAATGTTTGTTCCCGGTTTTCTGAAGTGAAAGGACTTTATATTATCATTCCTAAATTGAATGGGTCAGCTACTCCATCAGGACACCTTTATTCTATGGTCTTGAATTCATTCTGAACCCAGAGAGATGCCCCCATGACAAATCACAAATGCTTTAGAATCATGTCCTGGGAGAAAAGGGGAGGAGATGCACTGTCAGCCTATAGAAACAAGAGAGGAGAAAAAGGGTTTTCAGTTTTCTGAATTCGAAAGTAAATTTGAGATTTAATTAAACAAGCAAAAATTCTTCTTTGTAAAATGATGGTTACCGAAGTGGTTATGCAATCTCACTTCTAGCAGAGGGAAAAATGTAAAACTCCTTCAGATTACTGCACTTGGAATATTATTTCTATGTGGAATATAAATAGAATTAAGAAAAAAAATAGCACCTAATGCTATTTAATGTCTACCAAATGATTCAGTTAAACTGGGAAAAGGTAGAAATGGAATAGTCCATCAAAATTTAGAAGTACCTGGAGGCTAATTATAATGCACTTCCGCTGCCCAATTGCATGTACTTATTACATCAGCACATCAGCCAATTTCCAGTCAAAGCCCGAACACTTTCCGTTTGTAAGCCGCAAATAGATTGTCATTTCAACTTTCATTCTGTAGGGCATAAAAATGAAGCTTTAATTTATCTAGTATGGAATAGAAAAATGTTGTTTCAGGAGGGCTGAATCAAAGCAACCGTTCATATGGCCAGGGTGATAGCATGGTGGCGATGAACACAGAAATAAAGGTTGGGTTTTTCTCCTTCCAAATTGGAAAAATTTAAAGATATCAAACTTTTTCTTCTTTTACCTGATTCTGCCTTTACTTGAAATTTTTTCTAAAGGATTTAGGTCTTACACATGCAGAGTAATTTGCTTCATCTTACTATAGAACTAAATAATAGTAATTCCTCATTCAACAAATTTGGGATATTTGTCCTGAACTGAAATCAACAAGTTATAATTCAACTTCACAATATATGATAAGTGATGAATCTTATTCCTAAGCATCCAAAAATCAAGCCATAAATTAGTAAACCAAAACTGGGCACTGAAGCAGTAGGTGGAACAGAACATTCTGCTATGTATAAGGATTTAAAAATCTACAGAGAATCCCCAAGACCTCTTAAGCCAAAGAGACAAAATGGTTTATTAATCTGTGATAACCTCCATTACAAATGTCCATGTTAGCATTACCCGTAATTAGATTGAAGGCACATTTATTAATGATTAATTCAGTTTACATTTTATTATGCTGGAAAAGGCTCCATGAAAGTGTTTAGAAGGAAAGCATATTTGGGAAAATGAGAATCCTGAGCTGATTCAAATCCCATTGGTGCCCAAGTTAGGGACTACAAAAAGGTTTACTTAGGAGGAACAAACTGATGCAATTAGTAAGCAGGTATGAGGATAATTTGGAGAAGGAAAGCTATTTTTTTTTCACATTTACTAGCCTAAATTTTGTAACTATTATTTTTTCAGGAATAAAATGACATCTTCAAAAGGTGGAAAACATTGATTAAATTTTCAGAGGGCTTTGGGAAAGGGGAAAAGTTAAATACAAAGAAAGTAGGAGGAAGATGAAGAATGAAGTTTAGAGGTTTAAGGAGGGCTATGCCAATGACACTGAAGAGAAAAGAGTTTTTGTATGAAGAGCTGATCTCAATATTTATAACCAATTAGACTAGCGGTTGAGTGGAGACATAAGTAACGCTGAGTAATCACTGGTATCTATAATGCTGGAGATTGGAAAGTTCTGCGGTTTTCTCCCTCATGGTGAAATCGCTGAGCAAATGTGAAATCTTAAAGAAAATAAATCAAGCAATCTGCTTTTGCTAGATTTAACTTTAATTGACAGAACATAAACTCCTCAATAACAATTTCACATAAAGTTGATTTTTAAAATTCTATCTGTTTTTACCTTGGGCTGCTTTCTGGCTTCTCGTATTTTAAATTATGATTTTAAAAAAATAACGGGAAAAAAATCTTTGTTGAATTTCTATGCCATATGGGAATTTTTGAAAACAGTTGGAAGTTTCTCTGGAGTGGCCTTCAATCGGTTCATTTGGCCTTCTATAAATAAACAAGTAAGCACACCCAGGCGTAGAGTAGATGGGGACACTGTCTTCACCATTTCTCCAGAAAATGATATACCTTCTGGAGTTTTGCTGGTTAGTTATTAGCAGGAACCAGATGGAGAATTATACTGTCTCCCCAGGACACTAATAGAAACAAGTTCTGGGATTTGTCTCTTTGAGTTTTTCCTACTGAAATATGTTCTAACACAACCTTCAGGGCTGAAATTATCCTGACATTTCAGTATGAAACAGCCAATATGCACTACCAGCTTTAATGTAATTAGGTAAAACCTACCTTAATTACTGTATTTAAGCTTTATTTATTTATTTATTTATTTTTTGTAATATGCTACACAACCAAACTGCCTGGAATGTCAAGGCCATTTCATGCATTGTAGGTTGAAATTCAGCCAGCCAGCCTGCACCACAAGGAGGCTTCCGATTTTGACCTTTGCAATGTGTGAAATGCTGCGACAGATGATAGGGCATGGGGGTTAAAAACAAACAAATAACAAGCTACACCGTGGTGATATTTTAAAATTGGGACACATTTTCCCTTGTCTTTTTAATTTCTCTAAAGAGATAGTGCACCAGATTCTAAGAATATAAATGACTGTCAAGCACATATAAATAAGTTTCAGTTATCCTACAGCTTTTCTTGGAGACATTATTAATTGTAAATATTCTTTCCATTTTGAAATGAATAATTTATTTCATTGAGATAATCTAATAATTTTTGAATTAAAAAAATAAAGTCTCCAAGTAGCCACATTTTCCATAGCAAAAAGGTAGTTTATATATAGTTACAGTATGATATGCACACAGTAGTATAATATGGACATAGTCTCACATTTGATTATCCACTATAAAATGACTTTTTTTGATAGATTTTGGCAAAGAAAACAGTACAAATGATCCTGAAGACTCTGCAGATACCATAAGACATTATCAGAGTTCCAAAAAACACTTTGAGGAGAAAAAAAGCAGATCGTCCTCTTTCATCTCCTCCATTGATGATGAACAGAAGCCACTTTTCTCAGGAATAATGGATTCTTCTCCTGGAATGAGGAAAGCATCTGGGCTCAACTTTGAAGACAGTGTACCCAACTCAGGAAGAATTCACATAGATAAAAGAAGTCACTCTTGCAAAGGTAATCAAGAATCAGGAATCAGGTCGTCTCTCTTCAGCACTAATTATAAAACATGACTTTTCACAAATTAAGTACTATAGTAATACATGTTAATCTAATCTTTTTCAATTTCATGAACTGTTTGCAGAGAGTTCAGATCTTAGATCATCTACTACGAAGTGCTTGCACTATTCTGGAACAAGGAGTAATTTTTCCCAAACAATAATAGTGTAAGAGGTTTTTGTGGCCAGAGTTAACACAATGCCAGGCAGAAAACTGTGAAAAAGTCTTTATTGACTCAGTGGAGAAAAAGGAACAATGAGTATTTTAAGAGAGCTAACCAACTGATTCTTTATATGCATCTACAGTGTTATAGTATGATATGCCAATGCAATCACACTATAATACATGCCAAAGAGAATTTAATTTTACTGGGAATATGAGAAAAAGTGGAGAAATTACCTGAAATAAAGTTTGCTCTTGATCTAATTCATTTGTTTAACATCCCTACCAAAAGGAATACCCAATGTATGGGTTTTGTTGTAGAAAATATGCATGACTTGGGTAATAATGCTTAATCAATAGATGCAGATTTGATGCTAAAGGATAGAAAACTCAGGAAAACTTGAAGAACTGTTACATGGAAGAACAATTATTGTAGCATCTATAGATCTAGCTATAAAGCAGTACCAATAACAGGTCTGTGTGTCAGACTGCTGGGGTTCCAAGCCCAGCTCTATTATTGCTTCCTTTATGTTTTTGGGTAAGTGACTTAACCAAACCCACTAAGACTCAGTTTATGCATCTTTAAAATAGGAATAATATTATCTAACAACCACATCTAGTTGGTTGTGGTTATTAAACAAGATAATGCATAAATCACTTTCTGGGAAGTAAAATCCCCAACTTTGCTTAATATTTTCTCACAGGTTTTATTTTCCAAATCTTTAATCATTTAATACATTTAATATGTCCCTGGATATATAAAAATATAAAGATTAAGAAGGCATAGCAAAACATTAAAAGAATATAACAAAAATGAAGGAAAAATAGATGCTCTTGGCCTACCAAGATAGCAAAAAATTATGGCACAGAGTAAGTTAATATTACTTATCATCATCACCATTATTCCAAAGGATCATATCCAACAACAATAGACTTTATTGAATCTAAAATGTTTAGGCTTTATATTTTTCCAGACTGCTTTCCCTATCATGTAAAATCAGCTTTTTCCATAACCCCACAATGAAGTAAGCTAAGAATGTATGCAAGTGTGCTCCAGACAATCTAAAATCTTGATGAAGTGAATGAAAATAGTACCTCATTTATCACAATGGAAGAATGGAATATTAAATGTGATTACCAAATGTCCCATTTTAGTTATTTATGAAAATCGATTCTGGGAAGTGCTAAAAATAGAAACAGGTTGTATCATGGATATCAGAAGTTCTGAAGAGCTTGCTGAACCATGTCTACTATCTCTAAAGTTACTGTCATGTGGGCCTGTTTTTTTTTTAAAAAGTGTTGTTTTCTTCTTGAGCTTTAGACTCTCAAGTGACAAGTTATTAAAAATATATTTTGGGAATTTTATTTGACTTTATAAAGACTCTTGCTAACAATGGATTCTCATGTCCTTCATCATATATTTTTCTTTGTTATTTCTTCCAATTATTTTTAATTAGTTATTCCACATATACAATAAAAACTGTATTCTAACAATTTTAATATCTACAAATTTTATTTTTTAAAAGGTACAAGGCAATCCTATTTAAATAATAAAAAATTATTTTGAAAATGTGTAGCTAAATATGCATATCAATTGAATAAACCTAACTGATGTCTATCAATGAGCCAGATAATAACCTGGTTAATTAATATCATTAACCAAAGAGAATTCTAAAACTTCATGCACTGCAAATTTCATTTCCTTTTTAAAGGTGAAGTACTGTGTAATGTTCAACAACATGCTGCTGTTTGAACGACTAAATTTCCATAAATTTTAGTTTCATCATCAGTAGGAAATGTCACTCACTCATATTCCTGGGATTTTGCATGCTGAATCCAACAAAGGATCACATTTAGGTGGAGCTAAAAAAACAGAACAACATACAACAAAAAAACCACACAAATTAAATGGATTCTGATCCTACTTTGATTGAGGTCAAAAGCTGACTCTAGCAAAATTATGTACTCAGAGCAATGAGAAAGCTTATTTTCTGTTCATCCATTTCCAGAAATGTGTCTTGCAACTATAGCAACATTTTCCAAGGCAACCAAGTGCAGATTCTTTCTGAACTATATTTAGAAACTGTCTACAAGGATGTTCATTTGATTAAGACCACTAACCAGGATTTCCCCCTTTGAACTCCTCATTTTCTAAATTGCTGTTAAAACAAGCTAATCACATATCTCCAGATTTTAATAAAAGACTAAATTATAATCATAGAAGCCTCTGTCTTCTATGTATACATTTTTCATTTCTGCTAGGATAATCTTTTTTTTTCTTGAGCTCTGAAGAAAAAATATAATCCTCCATAATTTATTGCATGTGATTCACCATTGTCATTTGAAAATCAACTTATTATATATGATTTGGAAATGAGAGAACATTTAAACACAAGCAGAAATCCTATAAGCTTTCTTGGCACAAAACTCATGAACACAATATACAACTTCACTCCTATTAGTTCTTGTTATCGTCTCAAAAGAAAGCTTCCTACATTAACTGGCTAGCAGGAGACTAGACAGGAACAAGCAACAGCATCACCAAACCATGTATTTATGTATTCTGAAGATTTGTGTGGCATTACTGGCTCGCAGTTGAAAACCTAGTATACTAAGAATTATGTTATGGTTTTGTATTTTAAATAGGTTCAAGTGTCTATGGATAATAAACCACACTTCACAGTGAAAATCTGATAAAGTACTTAAAACTCCAGCAATATCATTTTTATTTGTTCCTTTATATTCAGTCATGTTTGGTAAAATATCAAAAGAAATGATAAAGTGTCACTTTGAAAAATGAAACAAAACACTAGGATCCCATGGAGTAAGGAAGCCATAATCAGGAAAAGTCTTTCCGGAATTCACAGCAAGTTCCCCAAGATCTGTTAGCTGGTCCCTGACAATAAGGAACTCTGATCTTGTATTTTTCTAATGTTGTCTTGAAACATACTAATTCCTTTGTTACAGCCTTACCCTGCTTAGGCAGAAATTTTAGGCACCTCATTAGAGAAATTGCTGTGTATTTAATGGTAATAGATATTGAGTAAGAGAAAAACCATGAAGAAAAAATACAGAAATTTTCTCTTCTACGTGGAAAAAGGGGATGCATTTGAGCCACTTGACTGTACTTTTGTAGAAACTGTAAGAAAGGAAAGAACTTTGAGAAGTCCTATGCTCAGTCCTGTTCTCTGTCTTTAAAATCATAGCTAATCCTGCCCAGTTCAGTTACATTCTATGCAATTTTCTAAAATAGCCAAGGATGTAAATTCCATAACTTTACATAATAACTTTTCTCAGTGTTTAATCATAGCTACTTGTCAAGATTTTTTTAAAAAGTCTATCAAACCAAAATCACTTTCCATAATTCGAATCTATTTCCATGTGAAAATGCACACCAGCTTCAGACAGTTGCCCTCCTACCAGCCCTCCCAGTGAGGAAAAAAATGTTTCTTCTTCTTTATCTCTGAAATAAACTCCTAACTCCAGTGGTATTTTTTCATAAGTTTTATTTTCCAACTCTTTAATAATTTTATAGAGGTTAAGAAGACATAGGAAAAGCATCAGAAGTATTTGACAAAAATGAGGAGGAAAGTAAGATATATTTGCCCCCAAATATTGACAGCTTGAAAATATAGTTTGTAGGAAAAACAGTAAATTAAAAGAAGCTCAGAAAATGAATCTCTGTATGAAAAATGACCACGATCCTGCTAGACTTAATTCTTCAAGTTCAAGGCCTCTGTCTCCTTCATTTTTAATTCCTCCGTTTTTAGCAGCATGTCTGGCACATAAGAGACACTTAGAACCTTTGAAAAGTAGACTTGAACAGATAAGCAATTTGTTTTAAAGTAGAGTAACATAAAAATATTCAAAATAAAAAGAGCCACAAAAAATATGTGTTATTATACTAAAGGACACCACGGAAGGGGCAAGAAGGAAGCGTAAAAACTTGGAATGGGTCACTTGGGACTAGAAGACTTTTAAGACTCTTTCTATCTTTAATGGTTTATAGCTTCTTGCCTCGACTCTGAGCTGGGTTGGCCTAACCCAATCCCCCTGAAGATCAGTACTTCTCTCAAGGATCCCTCTTTGGGCCCACTCTGAGTCACAAAGCATGCAAATTATCCTGGGAAAAAGAGCCCTAGAGATCTTAAACTCTAGGGAAAGCAGTATAAACAGAAAGTACTGTCGTCTCCCAAATATAAAAGCAGAAAATCACTGCACTCTAATTCATTTTGGTTAGGCCCTCCATATCTTCTCTTAGCACAAACAAAAAGACAACCAAATCCTAATCAAAACTCATGACCTGCTAAATGTTTTCATTTGTATGGAAATGGCCGTGGGAGATCAGGGGACTTGGTGAGATCATTTGGGTGAGACCTGCCACCAATAGGTGGGGACCCTGGACATGTCCCTGGCTCTTTTGGTTCTCTGTCTCTCCCTCAGTACCCTGAGATCCCTTCCAGCCTGTCGTGTGGCTGTCTGTGTGTTACTGATACACAGGGAAATTGACATCTGTCTTGCTATTTTTCCGCAGATATCACTGACATGCGAAGCTGGGAACGAGAAAATGCCCAGACTCAGCCTGAAGAATCCAGTCCTTCAGCACTTCCACGAGCTGCCTGGGGGGTCTCTGAAACTGAAAGTGACCTCACCTATGGGGAAGTGGAGCAAAGATTAGATTTGCTTCAAGAACAACTTAACAGGTATAAACAGTGGTGGGGCAAGAAGAGAACCTAACCCAAGCCCTTAGATGGGTCCAGCCTTACTACTTATAAATGGCAAATCCTCTTGCCATAAACCCATGTTTTCTTTATATATTACTTTTTAAAAATAAGACTAGGACCAGATGCAGTGGGTAACACCTGTAATCCCAGCACTTTGGGAGGCTGAGGCAGGAGGAGTGCTTGAGGCCAGGAGTTCAAGACCAGCCTGAGCAACACAGGGAGACCCCATCTCCAAACAAACAAACAAAAAAATGAACACAGCTAGGTATGATGGAGCACCTGTAATCCTAGCTATGCAGAAGGATCCCTTGAGCCCAGGAGTTTGATGTTACAGTTAGCTATGATCACACCACTCCACTCCAACTCGAGTGACAGTGAGACCTTGTCTCTAAAAAAATAAGAATAAATAAAATAAGACTAGAAGTTGAGAGAATTATTAATTTGTATTGCAAGGAGCATTTATTTTGAACACTTCATACTTCTGGCAGCATAAATTCTATTTTTTCTTTCCTTGTAGTACAATTAGTATTTCACTAGCACTGGCTACCTTAGAAGATGCCTTTTTCCCCCTCAAATTAATTCATATTTAACTTGTTAAACACCACCCCTCCTCTTTTAATCTTCCTTTTACACTTTTTGGATGTTCCTAGTAATTTAGTTGTGTGTTATGGCATTTTAAAAATACCAACAAAGTAATTTAAACATGTTTTCAGTCAACTTGTCAAAAACATAACTGAATCAAAAATTGCAGAGTTAAATCCCAGATCCTCTTCATTTTTCCTTCACCTTTGACCTAAACCATTTAATATGATGAACAAATTTTGGTTTTAGGGAGGAGGTAACCTTTTCACCTGAGTCTGCATGGTTTCTTTAAAATTAAATTGGTCAAAAAATTTCGGGAAAAAACATATGAATGAGTATGATATAACTGCTTTAGTTGTGTTCATTTGTGAATTTGCCTTGATTCAATAATATTCTTAAAGTATACCACCGTCACGTGAATACAGAAAGCTGTACAACTAAATGAAAATATTCAAATCACAAAACTTATTAAATCAATTTAAAACACACAATGAGAAACAAGGGAAACCAGATGGAATAATTAACACATTTGTGCAAGGGTGGTATTAACGAAAGGACCACATTACCTGAATTCTGACTTACACAATGTTCATACATCTGCTGCAGCAGCCTTCCCTACCTATAGTGTGGCTAGGAGGACCAGAGTTGGGATTTGCACAAATAAGTCCACAGACAAAAAAAAAATCTCCCGTGCCAATGCACACACTTGCTCCATCACAGAGATGCAAGGCCTAGTACACCGGGCCACGGCAATCGCTCTCCAATTAGCCTGTTCAATAGCCATGCTTTTTATTGGCCTTTTGGAGGTAAAGCATATGGGGAGCCAGATTGAGACAATACTAGGTGTCACCAGTGGGTGACCAAACTTGAGAGTGACAGTTGTCCATCCAGAGATGACATGAGATTAATTTGTTCTTTCCATCTTTCCTTGTGTATAAGCAACACTCTGATTCGTTACATTGTATTTTTTTATATATATAAAATCAATATATTTCACAAGTTGAAGTTTAGGAATATAAGGGGAAGGCCATACCTCTAACCTTTGCTAGAGAGAGGCAAAGATATAAATGTAACCAAAATGTTCATACTTTCATATTTTCTTGAAAAAAAAAATGAATGTTACATTGTATTTTTATTCCAATTTTGGTATGCCTTTCTTGTTACTAGCATGCTGTCTGTATTTAACATACCTTATGAATTCTGCTGATTTCCAGCAAGCTACTGGCTTACTCATCTATACTTAACACATCTATGAGTGTTGCCTATACCACATTAACTACTGGTTACTATCTGTGCTTAATATTTCTTGTGCATTTTGTCCATGACATTTTTTTATTGTTATTCAAAAAGTGAGTAAATGAAAGGATGAATAACAGGGGCAATGATGATTCCTTTAGCACAGTACTAGCACCGTACTTGCAATTGGTTAGCTCAGGTAAGTCTTAACTCTGCTACTTAACAACTTACAGGATTATTGAGTCCAGTCATTTAAACTTCCCTAGCCTCGGTTTCCTGCTTTGGCTCATACCTACATGCAATGCTGTTGTAAGGACTAAAACAATATACGTGGGGACTATATATGCTTTACAAAATGCAAGATGTACTTGTAGCTAGGTAAAATTTGATTAGCAACGAATTTCACTTCTATTACTGGTGTTCATTTGAGTGTATTCTCCTACTTTACATATATTTCTTGGTTTGGACCTTTCTTCAGAATTAAAATTGAGATTTTAGTGTACTCTTGTTGCTCTGTCATGGGTACTAATCACTGCTGCTGGGATAAGCCAAAGAGTCCTGAACACATATGTTTTCAATATGTCCAGGGGCTGAAAGTATAAACTTTTAAGGGCACATTCATCTAGGACCCATTTGGCTTGCAACCACACAAGAGTAATAATAATTGTTATTGCTATTGTATTACATTAGTACACCATAATTACAATCATGTAAAACTTTTCCACAGCATAGGTGCAATTAAATCTCTTTTGGCATGTTCCCAGCATCTGTCTGTGCTTTCTGAAGATGTTTTGAATTGCTGTGAAAGTTGTCAAAATCAAAACAGAGTCATTAATGTTAGAAAAACCCTGACAAATAGAGCTGAGGAAGTTCTCGTGTTTATATGTCCCCCAAAAGTATCACAAATACTCCACAAAAGCCACAACCTTGCACAAAGGCCATTGCAACCTCACACAAAAAATACTTCTGCAAGGACATCTGCCCAGCAACTGCCTCAGACCTCAGACTGGCGTCACCCTTGTTATTGATCTTTGTAACCAAGGATAATCATTTCAAAACAATTGCGTGAACTTCCTCATTTTTCCTTTTAAGGCCTTTTCCTTCCTTTACCTCTCTGAATGCAAACATGGTTTAATACTGCACATGTATTCCCCTTGGAATGCCCTATTTCTGGATAAACTTCACCTTCTTTTAGAGAGCCTCTCTCTGTTTGTTACTCAGGTTGACACTACCACCAATATTACTTCTCCTTTGACTATTTTTTTCTAATTACCTCTGATATTTTCACATTTTATTGCCAAACTCGGCTTTGCTTATTTTTTATTTAAAATCCAAAATTACATTTTTACTGTAATCCCATCTCCAGCAACCTCTTTCCTCCACTTTACACTAGAAGATAAAAGTATGGAAAATAAGTTTGAAAACAGCAGCTCAACTCAGACTTACACATTGCAGAGTGAGAATCCTGGGACACTTTCTAGAGTTGAGTCTACCCTGTTTGGCTTTGGCATTTGTGAGTTCCTACTCCACTTGTATCATTCAAATACACATATTAAGTACATAATGCAATAAAAACAAATATAAATGGTCCTTGCTGCTGCTGCTTTTCTGCTTTTATGGCCAATTAAATTATACATAGGGTTAAAGGTTTACATAAGAAATGTTTTTATATATTTATATATCATGCCTGCAGATAGAATATTTAAGGAAATCATTAACACTTGATCCTACAGCAGTGCTTCTTAAGCTTTAATGTGCATTTGAATCACCGGGGATCTTGTTAAAATGTAGATTCTAAGTCAGTAGTTAGTAACCCCAGTCAGGTCTGGAGTTGGCCGAGATTCCACATTCTAACAAGTTCCCAGCAATACTCAATGTTGCAGGTCCACTTTGAGTAGGAAGTCCCTAGAAAATGTCAATACTGTTAGTATTGACTCTTTGTGTTGCAGAACATTCAGAGCAACTTATCTGTATGCCTCCAGTATGGCATTGAGCACTTGCTTAGCCTACTGTTACAGTTATTTATGCACTTCCTACATTTTTCCTTCCTAAGTGGTCAGCTCTCCTCAGCACTGTGAAATCAGATGCCATATCTACTCATCATCCTGTTCTTCCCTCACCTTCCTACCTAACACTGTGCCTGGTACATGGTGGGTCCTTGAATGAGTGAATGAAAATATTCATTTTACACAGCTTTATAGCTATGTTGACAAAAAAAAGTTCTAAAACAGTGTTATTTCCTGTTTTAAAGACCAAGATGATTTTTTTTAATTTTCTGTAATTCCTCTTGAGTAAAGCAGGTTATTTAATCTCAGTAGAATAGTGCATTCTAATTAAGCCTATAGACCCTGGTCATAAAACATGAAAATACAACTAACTCTATGCATAGTAAAGAAGCTTCTCACGAAAGCCCCCCTTTGTTGAATTACTCATGATATCAAACCACCAATTAATGAAACAAAATTAAGTATTCACAATTACTGCAGGAAGGGAGACTGCCATCTGGACATAGTCTAGTAATGTCTCAGAAGGGGGAGTGAGAAGTAGAACATTTACAGGATTTTGGAGTCTGGGCTTTTTAAGGTGGGGAGCTGATTGGACTTGGGCAAATTTCATGATTAGTTCTTCAGGATTGACACAGTGAATTCTGGATCTTGAAGCAAGCTTTGATAAATAAAGTTTGATTAAGAAGTTATTTGTCCAGATGAGCAGAATGCTGTCTTCAATGAGTTGATTTATAGAAATCTCCTGAAGTAGCAGAGTTATTTATTGGTTGTCTTATTTTTCCCAGGCAAAGTTTTCCTGGAACAAACAACTAAGTCATGTTGACAGAGGTGGGCTACACTCTTACCTAAGTCATATTGATGCAGACAGTCTCTGTTCCCATCCTGCACCAGCCACTTCCCCTGCACATGAAGTTGGTATGTGCCCAAGTCCCACACATGGCAACTCATGTTGTATGAGTTGCAACAGTTGCATGGCAACTCATTGCAACTCATGTTGCAATTACTGGACAAAACGGATGCTGAAGCCTCAGCTTCCAATAGATTTTTCCCACATAGACACCATTCAAACAGGTAGAATCCATGATAAAGAGATCCTATTTCTCGGAGACAGCTGCTATTTGACAAAGGTTTTATAGGACTCAAAAACATCATAATTTTTGACCCTCTATTGGGTCTTGACTTCCCAGTTGATGAAGCTTTTATTCCAGTACTTTACATTCAGTGTAACAAACATCATATAAGCCACTCACAGCCAAATGCTGCTAATGATGGGATAAATTTGTACAGACATTATTTATGATGAAGTCTGAATGTAAACTTTTCTTTGGGGGCTCAGAGGAAAAAATAATTCTGAGTGGGTTAAATAAGGGAAGATTTTTAGGTGCTGATGAAATTTAAGCTGGGCCTTGAAGAGTGAAAGGAAAAAACTGATACATAACAATAAAACAATGGGTCTGCTCAGTTTAGTTCAGGGGTGGGAACCTTTTCATGTTGGGTGGCCACTTAATTTAGCTGTAATCAAATAAGGCCACATTCAAGAAACTTCAATTAGACATACTTAAAAAATGTACATTATTTTATAAAACTCCAACTACTATGTACTTAATAATTTCAAAAAATGAAAACAACTTGTTAATTTTAAAGTTAACTATATACTTTTAATGACTTTGTTGTGTCTGCTTTTTGTTGGAAAGCATTGGAATATTTGGTTGCAACATGGAGGTCCATAGTTTCCGTTGATCCTCTAGGTGGGTATCAGTCATTTGTAACCTTAAGGGCATCTTGATTTGGGTTAGGAAGGAGAATGTAAATCCACAGCAGTAAGTGGTTGAAAAGCAAGAAAGCATTTTTCGGGCATGTTGCTGAAGGCATGGGTATTCTACTGAATTTTTCCATATTCCAGTTGGATCTTTCTTAGCATCAAACAAGGACTTTAAAATGTCATCTACTGAGAGCTCAATCAATTCCATCTATGTTCTTTAGGTGCCTTGGTGATATCAGCTAGGTGAGGCTGAAATGCTAATTTGAGTGTGATGTCATCATTCTCAAAGTCAGTGAAACTTTCATCGTGTTCTCCAACTAATAGGTCTGTAATAGCTGAGTCTTCTTCAGATGATTCACATATATCATCCTGCTCATTGACGACCTTTGCTAAATGGGGAAAATGTTCATCAAAAATTTCCTTTTGAAGAAGAAATGTTTTGGGGGAAAAAAGATAGCTTTTTTCAAAATGCTTGGATTTTTTGCCACATATCATATATAGACTTAGTTTACCTTGCAAAGTAATACTCAAGTTGTTTTGATTTGACATGATATCACACAGAAATGTTGCATTCCTATAGAAATCTTCTAGTTCACATTGATGATTCTGTTCTTCATAAAATTTAACTCTCTGTTCTCTCAGAGATAAAAGTTTGGCTAACACATGTCCCTGTGATAGCCGATGCAGGTTGGAATGATACAGTGAATCCACAATGAATACCTCATCTTTCAATTTTAGCATGTTAGGAAACTGAGGATGGCGTGTTGTATTTGCAAGAATATAGTTAACAATACTTATAACTTGTTGCAAAATGCTACTTAAAATAGTAGCTTCAGCACACAGATTTTGCTGATTCAAGATAACATGAAGGTGCACTTCCTATACAAACACTCACTAAATATACCAAATTCAGTCCAAGTTCACGTTTATCTTGAAACTTGTTGAAGATATCTATACTTTGTGTTCTGTTCACAAGAGTACCCACAGAGAGTAACTCTTTGTAGCAAAGAAAATCTTTTATTATGACCTGAATGAAGTATAAAACCTGTAGTGAGTCAGTAGTATCAGTTGATTCATCCAAAATGATTAAATAATATATATATTCCTTTTGAAGTATTGCATGAATTTGTTCTGTTAAGCTGAAGGCTAATTCATGCTGCCAATTAGTTATGATTCTCCTTGAAAGAAGCAGTTTTTTGTACTTTGAAATGTTATCAGGGTCTAAGCATCCTACATCTTTGACAATACATTCTTTCACCATTTCTACATCACTGAATGGCTTCCCTTCCCCCCCCCCCAAGTAGATAAGCTACTTCATAAGTTGCTTCAGTGGCATTATTTCCAGGTCTTATTGCTACTTGAAAGAATTGTCTTTGCTTTTGCTTTTCATTTTTAAATTTCTGCAATACAGCCATTTGCATCTCTCCCTCTAATTTAAAATATTTGTGGTCCTTATAAGTGTTATAATGCTGATGAGCATTGAATTTCTTTAATGTTGATATTGCAGTATCATAAAGCAAGCAAATCATCTTATCTTTAGCAGAAACAAGATATTATAATCCCTAATCCTCATTTAAAAATCTGTTTTCTTCTTTCAGCGTTCTCTTGGTCTTCTTTGACATAAAAAAGTACTGTCAAGCTCTGCAACTATTCACAACTTTCACTTCTAACAGAAACATAGTGCACCACTGTCAACAGCTGACAACAGACTGGTGCACTCAACCCCCATAAACTCTCGCCAACCAGCCTCATGTGGTAGTGATGCCAGTCAGGTGGGGGAAGTTAGAACCAAATCATGAGCATAGCAGCCATCAATTTAGCCTTTATGGCTTACTAATGTTCTAATTGTGCCAATCTGGGAGGATTACTTTGTTGAAACTTAGTTTCTTCTTTGGTATTTTAAATATGTTCATTTAAAAAATAAAATAATAAGATCAAAGACAAATAAAAATGTATTAATAAAAATAAAAGGATTTGTTCTATAAAATTTGGATTTAGTCAAAAGGCTGCACTTAAGGACCTAGAAGGCCAAATGTGGCCTTAAGACCTCAGGTTCCCCATCCCTGGTTTAGTTGGTACCATAAAAATTAGATCAAACCTTAAGGTAACAAGTAGATAAATAAAACAGTTGATTTTATTTTTCCCTTTTCAGTGTGTATTTTTGACATTTGCAAAAATGACATTTCCAAAGCCGTGTAAAAATTATAGCTATTGCTTTAGAAAACACTAAGTTATGTGGCTATATTTACTAACTACAGAAAATCTGTAAGAATAATGTGTTATTGTGATTTGAAGTGTTAATATCAAAACCTAAGAAGGACAAAATGATCTTTACTCATGTTTTCCAGGTTTATTATGTTTTCTATCAAATCAAAGGCTAATTTCTCTCCACTTTGAATTCCACAAATGTAACATGTATTTAATTGGGCAAAATTAGTTCTATGATTTTAACATTTTTGGTAAGATTTACTTTTTCTTTGCATTTTTTTATGCAGAGGCAAAACAGTTAAGCACAAATAATTGAGGAGTTAGGAGAATTTTCTAAAGAGGCATATGGTCCAAATTTTCCATTCTTATGTCCGCAAAATTCCCTCTATATGTAATGCTGTTGTTAACACATGCAAAGGAAGGGAATCTGACCCATAGTATTTTGCTATTTTACTGTGAATTTTAATTTAAAATGAGAATGAGATTAATAGGCCAGTTGGCTACTTGTGAGTTTGGGGGGAAAAGTGGTCAGACTAGTATTTCTTGGGCCAGATGGGTCATAGAAACAAGTGAACTTTTAAGTTTGGTCTGTGTCTTAAATACCAAAGGCTCTGACTTGTAGGTGAGAAAGCAATTTAGCATTTAACAGCATTAATCATTAAAGAAAGAATACAATGAATAATATAAAATATTTACTATCGAATAGGAAAGAGACAGGGTAAAATAATGGTAATATAAACTTAAAACACATTAGAAATTATCCTGGGATGCTGCAATTATAAAAGAAATATGCTACTAATCTATTTTTTAAAGAGTAAATAAAACGTTTGCAAGAAACTGAGTAAAAATTAATTTAAAAAGAAAGACAATTACTGATTAACAATAGATTTTCAGTGTGTTTTATATTTTGAAATCAATAAAGACTAATAAAATGAAATCTATCCCATTCATCTGCTTTTCTGTTAATTTCTAACATGAACAGAAAAGCAAAGGTCTTTATCAGAATCTTTAGTAAGACACAGAATGAATGGGCCAGGAAAGAATCTCTGTGCTCCCTCTCCTGTCCTTCTTGTTTAAAGCAGGGCAATAATTCTGCTGCTTGTAGTGCTGAAATTTTCCCAGATGCGCTTTGCAATCTTGGACTATTTTAGGACTGTCTTTCCCTACCTCTGTCTGTCCTGCAGACTCGAATCCCAAATGACAGCTGACATCCAGACCATCTTACAGTTGCTGCAGAAGCAAACCACAGTGGTCCCCCCAGCCTACAGTATGGTAACAGCAGGAGCGGAGTATCAGAGACCCGTCCTGCGCCTGATGAGAACCAGTCGTCCCGTAGCATCTATCAAGACTGACCGGAGTTTCAGCCCTTCCTCACAAGTGAGTGTTGATGTTGTACAACCAAGAGTGTCTCCCAAAGTGTTTTTCCAGGGACCTCCTGAATCAGAATCACCTGGAGTGCTGTGGAAAATACAGATTTCTGTCTCTATCTCTGTTTCTACTTAATTATAATTTCTGGAAACGGGCCCTTGAGTCTACATTTTAAACAGATTCTCCACTGATTCTTAGTGCTCATCTAAAGCTTGAGAACAATGGACATAGAAGAATGATTTTAAACACTAGCACATTTTTTATTTTTAAGAAAAAGATTTTTTCCAGAATCCACCTACTTAAATTTATGTCCAGAACTTTGAAATCTAAGGAATAATCCTGGGTCCAAAAAGTGCTTCAGAGAAAAATCTGTAATTTGCTGCAGTGGAAAAATCTGGGAAAGGTGTCAGGAAGTAAGGGAAGGAGAAATAGCACCTGGCCAGATTAGATTTGAGATTCAAATGCCTTCAGACCAGTAATCTCTTCTGTGCCCTACCCATCACCAGAGAGCTGTCTTTAAAAAAAAAAAAAAACTGCATGATAAACATGATAAGAGAAGGAACTTAAAGTATCCTTTATTCTGCCTCTGAAGACCTCTAAGAGGGACCTTTAGAATTATGTGAAAATGCCTAGTCTAGCTTCCTTGGAATTCTATTTTGGGAATTAGTCTTAATTACTTAAATATTATGGCCAAATTGGATCTATGAACAATGATTTCAATAAGGATTTCTAGAACAGTCTTGTAAAACTTTTTTTAGATGTTTTGGAGTTTAGTGCAAAATGTTCTGGGAAATGAAACTATTAGGTCATTAAATATGAAATGTCTGATTTCAAATCAAAAGTTTAGTTTATTAGCTTTTAAACAAGAAGCAGTACAATTAATCAAAGTATGTGCCTAAACCATCGACACAGTTTTGCCATCTTAACAGTAGCTTATTTATGCCAGCAGCGAAGAAGCCTGGAGAGCCAGTGGTGATGAAATCAAGAAAGGCATTTTCCACAACTTGTTGAGAATTGAATATTTTTCCTTGCAAGAAGTGGTCCAAAGCCTGGAAGAAGTGGTCGTCAGTTGGTGCAAGGTCTGGCCAATATGGTAGATGACAGAAAGTTTCCAAGTCCTGCCTCTATAGCTTCAGCAGCATTGTTTGTGTGACAAGTGGTCAAGCACTGTCTTAGAGAGGATTGGCCTGTCTCTAATGACCAGTCTTGGCTTCTTAATCACAAGCATCCTCATCATTTCATCCAATTGGTTGCAACAGACATCTGCTGTAATCCATGGACCAGGTTTCATGAAGCTGTAGTGGATAATACCAGCACTGGACCACCAAACAAACACCAGTAGCTTTCTTTGAAGAATATTCAGCTGTGGACTGTGTTCTGGCACTTCATTTTTATCCAACCATTGTGCAGCTTGTGATTGTCAAAAAGAATCCATTTTTCATCACACGTAACAATACAGTGTAGAAATGGTTCCCCTTTATGTCATGACAGCAAAGAAAGGCAAGCTTCGAGAGGATTTCTCTTCTGACGCTTGTTTGATTTATGTGGTGCCCATCTATCCAGCTTCTTTACTTCTCCCATTTGTTTCAAATGTTCCAATGCTGTTGGAATATATTTGCTGCTAATTCACGCATAGGTTGAGATGGATTCACTTCAACGACAGCTTTCAGCTCATTATCCACCTTGGTCTCAGGTCACTTATGTGGCTCATTTTCAAGATTAAAATCACTAGAACAAAACTTCTGAAACCATCAATGTACTATGCATTTATTATCTACATCCTTCCCAAACGCTTCCTTGATATTTCCAGCTGTCTGCACTACATTGGTTCCACGATGGAACTCATATTTGAAAATAACAAGAATTTTTGACTCATTTATGGTTTCACAAAAATTGCTGTAAAAATAATTTAAAGATAATAAGAAGCCAAACCATGCCTTCCAAAGAATGAAGTTGTACCTTCAGGATAAAAATAAAACAAGAAGTGTCAAAGTGAAATGTCATAGATTTCAATGTGAAACTTAGTACTTAAGGAAATCGGACATTTCATACTTAATAACCTAATACATTAGTAACAGGAGATAATATGCTAGAAGAAAAATAATATGATCTTTCTAAAATTTAAAGTATAAATTAATTTATCTTTAGCCAGTTTTGAATGGCTTGGAAACATGTACAATCAAGTATTTTGTTCTTTGTTTTCAGTGGATTTAAATAATATTATCTGACTAGAAATGAGTGATTATACTTCCTTTCCTTTTTCTTTTCTTTCCTCTTTATGCCCCTTACTCATCAAGCAACCACATTTTCTCATCCCAGTTTTATCTTGGAATTTAAATGAAAACTTATCTGGAAAACTCAAATGTGAAATAATAATCCGATTTTAAAAATCTGGCTTCAGAGTAAAAGTTCTTGGAATGGTTGTTTAGGATTATCTAAACTGATAACTGATCTGATAATTGATCTCCAATGTCTTGATTCATCGAAGGAGGGAAATGTTGGCTAATACCGCTAATGAAATACAGATTAAGGGGGAAAGAAAACACATTCAGATTTCATGAGTGTAATTTTCAATGACTATCAATATGAATTATAAAAACCTGTTTTCTTCTCTTTCTATCAGTGTCCTGAATTTCTAGACCTTGAAAAATCTAAACTTAAATCCAAAGAATCCCTCTCAAGTGGGGTGCATCTGAACACAGCTTCGGAAGACAACTTGACTTCACTTTTAAAACAAGACAGTGATCTCTCTTTAGAGCTTCACCCTCGGCAAAGAAAAACTTACCTTCATCCAATTAGGCACCCTTCTTTGCCAGAGTCATCCTTAAGCACTGTAGGAATCTTGGGTCTTCATAGGCATGTTTCTGATCCTGGTCTTCCCGGGAAATAATCATTTTGTACTATTTACTCCACATACAATGTAAGTGCTTTTAATGGCTGTTTTCCTTTTTGTATTTAAATCCTCTCTACTTGACTCAGGGGCTCACAAGGTACCATTATATGCAAAAGTACTGTATATTTTCCTAAATTGAAGCTTGTAAGGTAATATTGAGCAGTTAGGATGTAAATAGACATAAGAACTTTTGGTTCCAAATGTTAAAACTGCCAGCATCTCAAGGCACCTTATTTTTTATTTTTATTTTTTAAATCATGTGCATGTTAGGAAACTCCAATTTCTCTTGCATGGAGACTCCTATTTATTGCTTTTCCTAAACCAGTACTTTGTTATGAAAATGCCTTCCAAGCAAATAAGAAACCAAGGGATAAAACTGTTCGTGAATGCAACTCAGATTCAGATGATCCTCAACTCATGGGAGTTCAAGAGGGATAAAGGGAACTTAGTCACTCTTGAGAACAGATATCCTTCTGTACTGAGATGCTTATAGTTAATTACATTCCTTCCTCCACACTCAAAACACCCACAAAGTTTAAGAGTTATAAATCTCAGACAGTATAGGAAGCCATCTCCAAATACATGAATTTAGGCTGACTTTAATGAGAACAAAAGGTCTTTCTACATAAAATTCTGTCACTAATTACATTCATAAATCATCTAAAATATTTCCCACTGGCACATTTCCTTGAAGGCTTAAAAAAAAGTTTCTCTAATTTTGGTTTTTTTTCTAGGGAGGGCAGGGGGATGGTCTCCTAAAGAACTGATAAAGTTGAACTGATTTCCACAGCTTTCTTCTGGTTCATATTTTAGGGCAATCCTGAATTTGATCAAAATAGTGGACACATAGTTTTCAAAAAACGTGCAATTTCACTGGATTTGCATAGCGAAACTAGCTTTCATTAAGTACATGTTGTTGTATGGTTTCCTGATCCCTGCTGTAGAAAAACAATATGCCTACAGAGGAAATACACAAACCAGCAGTAAAATTTCAGTTCTGTTTAGTTATTCTAACAATTTTGCTAAGCAGAGATTAAGTGCAAATCTATCACATATCAATTCGGATGGATATATATTGACTCCAGAATAAAATTTAATATATCTTCCAACTAAAATAGCTTCAAGTGTTAGGTTTGGGGTGTTTTTTGAGGGGGGGCATATATGTCTTATAAAATTGGGGTGAAGAAAAAAATTACAAGTTATTAAGATTTTGATTAGTCAAGTTTTAGTTAAGAAATCTTATCTTTACAATTTTAAAATTATTATGGACTGATCCATTATATCTTTTCCTCTGAACAAAAATTTTAAAATTTGTTGAAAGTTTCTTAATTCTTTACTAATTCTTACATTCACATATAGCTTTAAAAAAAAACATTTTACCTGTGCACATTATCAAATGGGTTAATTTCTATCCCTTCAGAATAGAAATACAATCTATTGCTTTACCCTTTACTTTTGAAACTAATTTATTAATCAGCTTCAGATCCAAGCAATTTATTTAAATTTATTTTATTTTATTTAAAAACTATTGCACTCTTTAATGTGATTAAAGTGACCTTAAATTTTATATATATATATATATATATATATTTTTTTTTTTTTTTTTAATTGAGACAGAGTCTCGCTTTTGTTGCCCAGGCTAGAGTGAGTGCCCTGGCATCAGCCTAGCTCACAGCAACCTCAAACTCCTGGGCTCAAGCAATCCTGCTGCCTCAGCCTCCCTAATGGCTGGGACTACAGGCATGCGCCACCATGCCTGGCTAATTTTTTCTATATATATTAGTTGGCCAATTAATTTCTATTTATATTAGAGACAGGGTCTCGCTCTTGCTCAGGCTGGTTTTGAACTCCTGACCTCGAGCAATCCGCCACCTCGGCCTCCCAGAGTGCTAGGATTATAGGCGTGAGCCACCCCGCCCGGCCTATATTTTTAAGTAGTCACATAAATTGATAATCTGTCTGGGAGGCAATCTGTAAACATGGACATGTTCTCATTCCTGCTTAATTTTTGAAAAACTAAAACATGACTGCTCAAGTACCAGTCAATTCAATAAAAGTGTGATAATTAAAACCAGTTTCCAAAACCATTCAGTGTTATGCAGATATAAATGTAGGGCTAATACTTTCACTTTCTCATTCAACAAACATTTAATGGGTGCCCCGCAGGGGAGAGAGTCCCATAAATGGCTAACTCCAATTCAGAGGACTATTTAGGGATTTTTATTTCCATATTGGGACATGTTTTTGCAGCTGCAACAAATTTCATAAGGATTAGCGGCCTAAATTCCAGGAACATTCAGAATGAATTCACCAGAGGCTGTTGATTTGCAGGGAGAGAGGATTTGGCAGGTGAGGAATTGAGATCTGATTGTTTGATTAGTGAATGCCTCAGCTGCAACATTTGGTATGACATGCATAAAATCCAGCCTTCCACATAAAGCTTCTATTTATACTTCTTAATAAAAACTGAGCATGAAGGAATGAAACGATAGGGAATGATGTGCAGGCATCCAGTTTGCATAAATTCTGGCACAACACAAACCTTTTTTCTTCTTAATTCCCTGACACAAAATAATTGCTTGATATTAAAATCTTAATTCTCAGAGAATTGGACAGAATTAGGAAGGTTCCTTCCTACAGGATATTAGCTTTAAAAGAGCCTGAGCAATATAAAGATACAGTTAGGCATAAATGTCAGAAGGATAAAATCAATGGTAAAACTGATTTATAGATGACCAAAGAAATTATCTTGATGTACAAAATGCATCTCCCTGCTCCAGCCAAAGATCTAATACCTAAATGCACCATCATCTTCCCCACTGGCTGTAGCAAAAACAGTCTGGCCCCTCCATCTAGGGAGCCTGCTGAAGATCAAGTCTAACTTTTGCAACCAATCATAATTGCAGTGTAGCAAGTGCTTTCCTTCTAGGTAATAAGAAGCACTGACATAACACCTTTTGCTTTCCTCCTAAAAATAATGTTACCTGGTCCCCTGGTCTAAATAAAATGTCATCGAAAATCTAAAGTTTGTTTGGATTAGATGATCTCCTGCTGTTATTAATTGCTGGGCAAAGAGCTGAAACTTAAGAAGTATTTTACCCTGTAGGGGAGTCACATTCTTTAATTAGTTGGAAAACCAGAAATAAAACATGCTGAAGCAATGTTCTTGCAGGGATTTTAAATTAATAATCACTCATTCAACACACATGGGAAGGCAGAGGGCAGCTCTAGGACAACATAATTTCTTAAGTCCATTATAATATGTTGGTCATCAGAGCTGAACTTTCCTACTCTTCTAGTCAGGAAATATGGAAACGAGGTCAGGGCAAACTAGCATTTAGAGTCAGGTTTAATATGTGTGTATAAGAGTTGCTTATACGGTCCTTTTCAAGGTTGATCTTTAGCAATGGTTTCAAAATGCCTAGGAGAACAATGTCCTCATCAAAATCCCATTATATATTACCTAAGGATAAAATTTGTTGTCTTATTAGCATATCTAAAATTATTATTATTTAATAACAGTATCTTTCCTCAGTGTTTTTCATTTTTTTTTCAAAAAAGGGATTCAGTAAATCAATTATTAGAAATGAATCGCAACATTGACTAATTTATAACTTAATACAATGGAGTCTTTAAATTGCTTGTCCATGGTTAAAACCAAAAGTACATATATATGTAAACATATTTCTCATTACAAATCAAAACTTTTATAAATTACCAAAATATCAAATGTTACTAGGTTTCTAATCATATTTTTATGTGTCCATATCTTGTGAGTTCCAATAGCCATTTGGAAGATTGGATGATGTAGAATAGTGGTCCTCAAAGTGTAGTGCTCAAGCTAACAGTACTAGCATCACCTGGAAACTTGTTAGAAATGCATATTCTTGGCCCCCACCCCAGATACACTAACTCAGAAACTTTGGGGTGGGGACCCAGCCATCACCTTTTAACAAGCCCTCCTTCACATGATCCTATGTACACTAAAAATTTGAGAATCACCATAGAAGAGTAAGCATAGTTTTATAGTCAGAACAACTTGGGTCCCAACATGAAATGAGTTCTTTCATATCAATAGTTTTGTGACTCTGAGCAAATTAAATTAATTAAACTTCTCTGAGATTTTTTCTTGAATCTGTAAAAATGAGATAATGGTACCTGACTCACAGAAGTTTGAGGAAGAAATGAGATAAAATATAGTAAAGTGCCTGGTATACAGTAGGTGCGCCAAAAATGCTAGATTCTTTGTTTCTCATCCAGGAACAGGACATTAAAAACAATCAGGAAAACAAATGATTTCCCACAATCTAGCTTTTGCACAATGTGCTATGTCTCCAACTTAATAGCTGTTACTAAGACTAAAGTTTTTGATTCAGAAAAACCTAAGCGTAGCTATTGTTTTCTCTCTTAATTGTATTTTGCACTATTTGGTTTATAGCTTTAACGTAATACGATTCATAATGAAAACCGTGAGAGTATGAATCTCTTTATACAAACATATCTAGTCAGAATTGATGTTAAGTGCCAAGTGTGTAAACGTGATCTGTCAAATTCAGTACTACTAGAATGTATTCTATAAAGGCTGGCTCACTGTGGAAGACCCTCTTTAGATCCGTGATATAGTCCCCAAATGATATTTGAAAAATACATTTACAAAATACAATTTTGAAAGTAAATTCACTTTCCATCACTTTCTATTTTTACAGAAAATAGAATTTTACACTTGTAGTGGTTCAGTTCAGGCCCGTAGGCCACTCTCTCATTGCACAGATACATTATACAGGTCTTACTTAGCTTTTGTGTGGAATGGTGGAAATGGCAAGGGACTCAATGTGGTAAATCTAAATGCAAATCCTAGCTTCTCCATTTACTCCTGTGATAAACCCTCAGTGAGCCCCAGTATCCAAAACTATAAAAATGGAGGTAACATCTGACATATCTTGAAGGGTTATGTTGAGGATCCTCTGAAAGATACATGCGTATGAGGAACTGCTTTGTAAACCATAAAGCACAGTAAAACTGTAAGATCATTGTGTGACTCGTGCATCCTCACAAAGGCAGTGGTGTTATGGTGTAGTGCAGTAGCACCACTGCCCCTTCCTCTACCCAACCCTCGCCACATTAACACTCTGTAACAAAAATCTATAAAGTGATTTTCACATACCTCCCAAAGATATAGTCACTCAGAACAGGAGAATGCCACTGCTACAGAAGCTTCCTCTGCTATAGCATTCTGATATTTCTTGAATATTGCCTTTGTCCAACATCCATAAAATTATACATTTCCATTGCAGTTGTTTTCTAGGTATGTAATTAATAGCTTCCCCCTCTCTCCTTCACCCAAGCATTCTCATTCAAAGCTATTTTCTTGTTGTTCTACTTAACTTATAATGAAGTGATGTTAAACTTTTACAAACTAAAGATTGTGTCTTAAGTATTGTGATTGATCAGTGCCCAAGCTTAGAATAATTCATCATATGTTCTTGTGGTATAAATACAATTTGCTTTAATATCAAATACAGAAAAATCACAGGAAGACATGAGTTATTATTAATAACTGAAAACATGGAAAGAAATTACCACAAGGCTTATTTATATAAACTATTAAGTGGAGGCTGAGAGAGATGAATAACATGAAGTTATTTAAAATTAACGTTATTACCAGGAATAGAATAAAACATCCATAGAAATGCAATGATAAGAACATAGACCATACAATCAATTGACCAATTTCATTGCTCTGCCAATTGTAACCAAAGTTTTAAATGAGAATGGGAAGAATTATTACAGAAATGCTACCGAGAAAATATTATTATGAGAAGTGGCAGTATTAACATGGTTATTCTTGAAAAACTAATGTTAAAAATCAGATTAATTCCTAAATTGTAGTCATGACATCTGTAACTTCCATTAGTTAATTTGTATTTTAAAAGATGTGAAATAATTTAGTACACCTGTGGTTCTAAGCACTATGTTTAACCTATATTCTCTGTACTTCCTGTTGTATTTTTTATGTTGTTTTTATATTGAAAATAATCACAACTGTTAGCATTTAAACTATATTATTTTTGTACCGACATATGTTAAGTGTTTGAGTATATAAGAAAATTCCACACCATTTTCATCATCCTTAAATTCAAGGATCAGTAATCTTATAATTAATTCCTCCATGTAGTCTCCTCAAATGCCATTATAATTATAATAGCATTGAAATGATATGGCACCCTTCCTCCAAATGTTAAAGAAATAAGATAAAAATATTGAGGAATCCCTAGTTTTTTATCTCCTAGGCAACTGCGTATTTCAATTAAAGGGACATTACCTCTTTTTAGCTGAAATTTGCATTTTATAATTTTGATGGAAAAATGTATTGTATCAGAATGTCTGCCAGTTAAAGAATAATATATTTTTTAAAAGAACGTGTGTAATCACTTGAAAATGTCAGTCACCTGATATAAAGCAGTTCACTCACATCTGGCTAAGTAGTACCTTGGAATGCTTTAAACGAAATGAAATGATCTACCAAAACACATACTAACTACTTCCTAGTC